TAAGATTTGCAATTGTTTGCACTTGTGAAATTCGGTGGCAATTCCTTTCATGTCCTTGTCATTAATTTTTTGTGGGAAGCGATAAAATCAAGTAAGGAATTAACGACAGTGGTGTGCGATAGTAATCTCCAATCCATACCCATTCATGAACATTTGAGAAAATTTTAAAGCAATCTATAAGCCAACCATAAGGCCTGGATTTTCTAAAGAATACTATTTGAGGCTCAAAAAAGGCGTGGATTTTTTAAAGGATATTTTTTGAGGTTCTACCAAAGGCGTGGATTTTTTAAAGGATATTTTTGAGCGTCTACCAAAGGCGTGGATTTTTTAAAGGATATTTTTTGCGGGTCTACCAAAGGCTTGGATTTTTTAAAGAATATTTTTTAAAGAGTCTACCAAAGGCGTGGATTTTTTAAAGGATATTTTTTGAGGGTCTACCAAAGGCGTGGATTTTTTAAAGGATATTTTTTGAGGGTCTACCAAAGGCGTGGATTTTTTAAAGGATATTTTTTGAGGGTCTACCAAAGGCGTGGATTTTTTAAAGGATATTTTTTGAGGTCATATCATATGCGTGGATTTTTTAAAGGATATTTTTTGAGGTCATATCATATGCGTGGATTTTTTAAAGAATATTTTTTGAGACCATACCAAAGGCTTGGATTTTTTAAAGGATATTTTTTGAGGGTCTACCAAAGGCGTGGATTTTTTAAAGGATATTTTTTGAGGGTCTACCAAAGGCGTGGATTTTTTAAGGGATATTTTCTGAGGGTCTACCAAAGGCGTGGATTTTTTGAGGGTCTACCAAAGGCGTGGATTTTTAAAGGATATTTTTACAAAGCATCCTCTGGCCCACAGGTGTGGATTTTTTAAAGGATATTTTTTGAGGGTCTACCAAAGGCGTGGATTTTTTAAAGGATATTTTTTGAGGTTCTACCAAAGGCGTGGATTTCTTAAAGGATATTTTTTGAGGTCATATCATATGCGTGGATTTTTTAAAGGATATTTTTTGAAGTCATATCATATGCGTGGATTTTTTAAAGAATATTTTTTGAAGTCATATCATATGCGTGGATTTTTTAAAGAATATTTTTTGAGACCATACCAAAGGCTTGGATTTTTTAAAGGATATTTTTTAAAGAGTCTACCAAAGGCGTGGATTTTTTAAAGGATATTTTTTGAGGGTCTACCAAAGGCGTGGATTTTTTAAAGGATATTTTTTGAGGGTCTACCAAAGGCGTGGATTTTTTAAAGGATATTTTTTGAGGGTCTACCAAAGGCGTGGATTTTTTAAAGGATACTTTTTGAGGCCATACCAAAGGCGTGGATTTTTTAAAGGATATTTTTTGAGGGTCTACCAAAGGCGTGGATTTTTTAAAGGATATTTTTTGAGGGTCTACCAAAGGCGTGGATTTTTTAAAGGATATTTTTTGAGGGTCTACCAAAGGCGTGGATTTTTTAAAGGATATTTTTTGAGGGTCTACCAAAGGCGTGGATTTTTTAAAGGATATTTTTTGAGGGTCTACCAAAGGCGTGGATTTTTTAAAGGATATTTTTTGAGGGTCTACCAAAGGCGTGGATTTTTTAAAGGATATTTTTTGAGGGTCTACCAAAGGCGTGGATTTTTTAAAGGATATTTTTTGAGGGTCTACCAAAGGCGTGGATTTTTTAAAGGATATTTTTTGAGGGTCTACCAAAGGCCTGGATTTTTTAAAGGATATTTTTTGAGGGTCTACGAAAGGCGTGGATTTTTTAAAGGATATTTTTTGAGGGTCTACCAAAGGCCTGGATTTTTTAAAGGATATTTTTTGAGGGTCTACCAAAGGCGTGGATTTTTTAAAGGATATTTTTTGAGGGTCTACCAAAGGCCTGGATTTTTTAAAGGATATTTTTTGAGGGTCTACCAAAGGCGTGGATTTTTTAAAGGATATTTTTTGAGGGTCTACCAAAGGCGTGGATTTTTTAAAGGATATTTTTTGAGGGTCTACCAAAGTCGTGGATTTTTTAAAGGATATTTTTTGAGGGTCTACCAAAGGCGTGGATTTTTTAAAGGATATTTTTTGAGGGTCTACCAAAGGCGTGGATTTTTTAAAGAATATTTTTTGAGGGTCTACCAAAGGCGTCGATTTTTTAAAGGATATTTTTTAAGGGTCTACCAAAGGCGTGGATTTTTTAAAGTATATTTTTGAGGTCATATCAATGGCGTGGATTTTTTTAAAGAATATTTTTTGAGGTCATACCAAAGTCGTGGATTTTTTAAAGGATATTTTTTGAGGGTCTACCAAAGGCGTGGATTTTTTAAAGGATATTTTTTGAGGGTCTACCAAAGGCGTGGATTTTTTAAAGGATATTTTTTGAGGGTCTACCAAAAGCGTGGATTTTTTAAAGGATATTTTTTGAGGGTCTACCAAAGGCGTGGATTTTTTAAAGGATATTTTTTGAGGGTCTACCAAAGGCGTGGATTTTTTAAAGGATATTTTTTGAGGGTCTACCAAAGGCGTGGATTTTTTAAAGGATATTTTTTGAGGCCATACAGTAAAGACGTTATGAAAATCTTTAAAACTTACAAATTACAAACACAAGACATTACCGATGAACATGAATTTGTAACATATGTTATCGACAGTACGCCTCCATTTAAAAATCCACATATCTCTTCATTCAATCTCTAACCTACCTCCACCCTCTCGTAATAGTAAAAAATCACCAAGTTACATTAGGTTACCCTAAGTAAAAATTCATAATCAATCAATGTCATAAATTACACCTATCCTGCCGACTACAGCAGCCGACTGTAACAAATATGGCCAACCAATAATGTTGGCTGTCTATCGATTATTGTGATAGGAATGGGCTGGAGGCCAGAAGGCAGGACTTTGGACAAAAAACTGAATGAATTCATTCATTGTCAAATCAGTTAACTAAATGACTGGCTGATGTGGCAGCTACTAGGGGGAGTGATGGATGTAACGAATGCAACGCATACTGCAATTTGCCATGGACCGTGTTCAACGCACGTAAAAAAGGGTTAGTCGCCAAACGCACAAAAAAGAGTAACATTCTGCACAAAAAGAAAACCATCAACAACGTTTAAATTATCATGTTAATAATAATACCGTTTTTTTATTGTCCACCATTTTGGGGGTAGTCGAATAACAAAAAAGTGATAACCAATTGTTGGGCGAACCCGGAAAAAAGGGGTGCAAGGAGAGATATCATGTTAGCCCTTTTGTTTTGGTGTTGTTGCTACATTTGTTCATTTTTGTTGTTGTTGTTTATGGCCAGTCAACTGGTAACAAGTGTTGATAATGATGTCGTTGTTGTGATAACTATGTTCTTAATTGTGGGGTGTTAAAGGGTTAATGCCGGGCTTTTGATACCAAACACACAAAACAAAAGGATTTTTTGTGTTTTTTGTCCTTTTTTTCGTTGTCATTTTTTGGGCACAAAAAATGATGAGCTGTCTTATTAGGGGTCTATTAAAACATATTTAGTTGATTTCCACCAGATGTTTGTGAAGGGATGTTGTTGAATTAATACATAAATCAAGGACTATTTAATAACAATTTTGGGTGATCAGAACAGAAAACAAAAATTTAGAAATACTGTGAATAGAAAAAAGTGAGACATAAAGGTCTCACAATTTTTTCTATAGAAATAAAGTGAGCCCTGTGGGCCTCAGAATTTTTTCTACAGAAAAAACATTAGTCCTGTGGACATCAGAATTTTTTCTATAGAAAAAACATTAGTCCTGTGGACATCAGAATTTTTTCTATAGAAAAAACATGAGCCCTGTGGGCCTCAGAATTTTTTCTATAGAAAAAACATGAGCCCTGTGGGCCTGTGGGCCTCCGAATTTTTTCTATAGAAAAAAACATGAGTCCTGTGGGCCTCCGAATTTTTTCTATAGAAAAAACATGAGTCCTGTGGGCCTCCGAATTTTTTCTATAGAAAAAACATGAGTCCTGTGGGCCTCCGAATTTTTTCTATAGAAAAAACATGAGTCCTGTGGGCCTCCGAATTTTTTCTATAGAAAAAACATGAGTCCTGTGGGCCTCCGAATTTTTTCTATAGAAAAAACATGAGTCCTGTGGGCCTCCGAATTTTTTCTATAGAAAAAACATGAGTCCTGTGGGCCTCCGAATTTTTTCTATAGAAAAAAACATGAGTCCTGTGGGCCTCCGAATTTTTTCTATAGAAAAAACATGAGTCCTGTGGGCCTCCGAATTTTTTCTATAGAAAAAACATGAGTCCTGTGGGCCTCAGAATTTTTTCTATAGAAAAAAACATGAGTCCTGTGGGCCTCAGAATTTTTTCTATAGAAAAAACATGAGTCCTGTGGGCCTCGACTATAGAAAAAACAATTTTTTCTATAGAAAAAACATGAGCCCTGTGGGCCTCAGAATTTTTTCTATAGAAAAAACATGAGCCCTGTGGGCCTCAGAATTTTTTCTAGAATTTTTTCTATAGAAAAAACATGAGTCCTGTGGGCCTCAGAATTTTTTCTATAGAAAAAACATGAGTCCTGTGGGCCTCAGAATTTTTTCTATAGAAAAAACATGAGTCCTGTGGGCCTCAGAATTTTTTCTATAGAAAAAACATGAGTCCTGTGGGCCTCAGAATTTTTTCTATAGAAAAAACATGAGTCCTGTGGGCCTCAGAATTTTTTCTATAGAAAAAAACATGAGTCTTGTGGGCCCCAAGGTTCTCAGATATTTTCCCATAGAAAAATCTCCTTGTGAACTTCGGAATATTTTTTGAGGTTCAAATAAGGCGTGGATTTTTTAAAGAATATTTTTTGAGGTTCAAATAAGGTGTCGATTTTTTTAAAGAATATTTTTGAGGATCAAATAAAGCGTGGATTTTTAAGGAATATTTTTTGGGTCCTGGACCTCAGAGTTTTTCTCTTTATTATATTAAAACCGTTTTTCTTTCTCGTATTCTTTGCAGGTCCATTCCTCTCTCCCTCTTCACAAAAACCTCGTCTTTGACAAATCCACAAAATGAAAATATCCGAGGAAATCCACATCTTGGATGACATTAAAAAGGAGCCAAATTATGAAGAGGACGAAAATCCTGGAGAGTACAGAATCTGTGACAGTCAACCTGAAAATTATCATTATAGCCAGGAAGATGAGACTCATCCTTTCAATGGAGTCCATCAAATGATCATATCTCAATACCAAAATCCATCAAATATGCTGCCATGCCAACCTCTTAACCCCGAATTTCCCATTACCACTGAGGAAGGAGAAATTTCTTCAAGGGAATTTTCGAAGTCCGATATTCAATTCATTCAAAATGTTTACAACCCAAATTCTGAGGTTCAAAATAATTTTGCTAATAATCTAAGTATTTTGAATGTTCAGTCTCTAATCTCCCACGAATTTCCAAGGCTTCAGGAGACTCCCTCAAAATTTCCCTCTAAGGCCCCAAAACCAATGCCGGCTGAATTTGATAAGGCCTGTGGTACTACCGTCAAGGATATGCTGAAGTATATTCGAGAGGGAGGAAAATCAGGAGCAATAAAAGGAAATCAAAATTTGCAAAGGTCGACGGATAAGAAAAGGGATCAAAATGTTAATGAACCGCCTGAAGTTCCCTCAAAATCGTTGAGAAAAAATCCCAGCCCTAATCATACGGAAAATGGAGAGCTAAATTTCCCAATTTTCCCAAATCAGTTTGAGAATAATGTACCCCAAATAAATGGCTTTGGTGGGACTCAACATCCTTTTGCTGTTAACGAAAGTCCCCTTTTGACTTGGTCCCAATTATTAGCCACAAATTTAATGCCAATTTGCATAGCTCCAAACAACAAACCCCCACCCATTACCAATGGCACCTGGTTACCCCTGCCAACACAAAATACCACGGAACGTGATTTGAAGTCCCAAATAACTCCGCCACAATCTCCAAAAAATTTGGGATTTTTATTACCTTTCAACAGCCACCAACATCACCACCACCACCAAGGTGGCAATTGTGAAACATTCTCACAGCGTTCATCAGCCACCACGACAACAACAACAATTGGCCATACATCAAATTCGCCCACAACCCTTTCCCAGCCAAGTCGAGAGGTAATTAACAGCATAAATTTAACAAATATTGGACATTCCACAGATTTGGAGAAAAGTGCGGACAAAATAATGACCAAACCTCAGACGATACACCACACATCGTCACCACCTAAACCACCGAAAGCTCAGATGGACCAAAATAATGGCACAGCCACAGATGCTGCTACAGACTTCGCTGAGACTGGAGGGGACTTGAGGGAGCAGCAAAAATTACTTGCCACGTCTGTGTGGCATACGAAATGCATAAAACAGTCTGGCATGTCTGAAGTAGAGAATCTAAGAAAGTCATTAACCCAGAGTGAAAATAACAGCAACAACAACAACCACACCAAAGCAGACATAAGAGCAACAAATATTTCCATGGAAGCCAAGTATCCGCCACCACCATCAGTGGCCAAACAAAAGAAAGTCAATACCAACAAAGCACAGATGAAAGTAAAGGAAATACTCAAAAAGAAGCAGCATCCTCTACATATGATGGGGACACCTACTCCCCCACAATTGCATCCTTCCACCCCCTTTACGTCATCATCTTCGTGTACTTCGTCGTCCTCTTTCTATGGTGAGCAATCCTTATTTGTGCACAATATCCTGGAACGGGATCGTCTAATACGAGAGCATCAATTAAGACAGCATTTACTGGATAGCAGCTCCAACAGCAACAACAACAGTATCATACCAACAACAACAAATACTGAAACTATTTTAACACCCACAATGAATGGCTGCAGCAGAGGTGGTGGCTCCATGGACAATTATAATAATTCACGTGTTTCGTATTTGTTACTTCAACAACAGCAACAACAACAACATCTCCACCAACACCATCACAATCCTCATCATTACCACTATAATCATCAGCAGAAACAGCAACAGCCTCTGAGGGCCCAACAAGCCCCCAATTTTTATATTCGGCAAAGAGGAAACATTGGAAATTCAACAAATGTGCATGATGATGTCCTTCAAGGACTAGACAGGACAGAGGGAGAGGATGCCGAAGAAAATATTCTACAGGAAAATAAGGAGACAAAAGAAAATGACGAAGAAGAAGAGAATGAAAATGGAATCGTAAATAACACTAAATACCATGATGATGATATGGTAGTGGGCCAGCAAAATTCTGCCCCCGTCAAGAAGATGGAGGCAAGTGGAGACTCAATCACTGTTGTTAATCCAACAAATTGGTATGGCGATGATGATGATGTCGATTGTGTTGATGACATTTCATGTCAACAACGCCGGGCAAACGGAAAGGAAACACAAAAGGAATTTTGCAAACCAACAAAAGAGGAAAAAGAAGATGAGAAGGAAACTCTTGATGAACAGAATAGTGTTTTAAATCTTCACAATGATGAGCAACAAGGACACTTTTCGATGTCCTCAACGAAGTCTATAAATTCATCTTCACCAGTTGGAGAGGAGGCGAGCGAGGTGGCTGGAATAACATCACCAAATAATGAAGTTATTGACGGCAACAACAGCATATCACAAACTTCAAATGTTGCTGACAGGCAGAACGACACTTCCTTGGCTGTCCTGACTGTAAGAAAAGGTGAGTAAATGAGAGAGAAGGTTTAATTTACTACTATATTTTTTATAAGCTAGCTCCCTAGAAAATTCAGCTAAAGCATATATTTTCAAGGGTCTACTAGAGGCATGGATTTTTTCAGGGGTCTACAAGAGGCGTGGATTTTTTAAAGAATATTTTTTCAACGGTCTGCCTACAAGAGGCGTGGATTTTTTAAAGAATATTTTTCAACGGTCTGCCTACAAGAGGCGTGGATTTTTTAAAGAATATTTTTTCAACGGTCTGCCTACAAGAGGCGTGGATTTTTTAAAGAATATTTTTTCAAGTACCTAAAGGGGACGAGGATATTCTAAAGAATATTTTTCAAGGGCCAACTGAGGCGTGGATTTATTAAAGAATATTTTTCAAGGGCCAACTGAGGCGTGGATTTATTAAAGAATATTTTTTAAGGGCCTACAAGAGGCGTAGATTTCTGAGAGGTTTAGATTTTTTCAAGGCCTATGAGAGGCGTGGATTTTTCAAAGAATAATTTTTCAAGGCCTATGAGAGGCGTGGATTTGTCAAGGCCTGTGAGAGGTGTGGACTTATCAAAGAATAGTTTTTCAAGGCCTATGAGAGGCGTGGATTTGTCAAGGCCTGTGAGAGGTGTGGACTTATCAAAGAATAGTTTTTCAAGGCCTATGATAGGCGTGGATTTTTCAAGGCCTATGAGAGGCGTGGATTTTTCAAGGCCTGTGAGAGGCGTGGACTTATCGAAGAATAGTTTTTCAAGGCCTATGAGAGGCGCGGATTTTTCAAGGCCTGTGAGAGGCGTGGACTTATCAAAGAATAGTTTTTCAAGGCCTATGAGAGGCGTGGATTTTTCAAGGCCTGTGAGAGGCGTGGACTTATCAAAGAATAGTTTTTCAAGGCCTATGAGAGGCGTGGATTTTTCAAGGCCTGTGAGAGGCGTGGACTTATCAAAGAATAGTTTTTCAAGGCCTATGAGAGGCGTGGATTTATCAAAGAATATTTGGTCTACAAGAGACATTTATTAAACACATATTTTTTGAAGTACCCTTAAGGCGTGGATTTTTTTAACTAATATTTGTGGACGATTTTTTATACCCTTCACCAGGGTATTATGTCTTTGTGCATATGTTTGTAACAGGTAAAAGGAAACGAGATAGACACATGGTTGCTTTTGAGAATATACATAGAATCACTTTCTAAGACGATTTATGCATGTCCGTCCGTCCGTCGGTCTGTCCATGTTAAATTGTAAACAAAGCACAGGTCACATTTACGATCCGAATTGGATGAAATTTGGCATAGGTCACTTATTTGGCCCAAGGATGAACCCAATTGAAATTGGGAAAAATCGGTTCAGATCTAGATATAGCTCCCATATATATTTTCGTCCGATTTAATGTAAACGGTCCCTATATATCGAAATTTGGCACAGCCTACTGAAATTATTTTCAGTTAACCGAACTCCGCTTAAGTGAAAACATCAGATAACTGAAACAAACATCCAGATCTGTTTCCGTTTTAGTAAAGAGGAGTCGACTGTAACTTAACCTGTAACAAGTTTCGATGAAATCGGTTTAGATTTCGATATAGCTTTTATATATATTTTCGTCAGATTTGAAGTAAAAGGTGCACCAAACTCCTCATATTTATCAGATATTTTTCCAAATAATCAAAGGGTGTCCGATTGATATTTGCTTACGTATTTTTGTCCCATTGTAAAAAGCAACTCTGTATTTGACCAAATGAAAAATTTAGTATAAGTTGCAGAATGACATGTTTATGGATCCAATTTCATTTTACTGTTCCTTCAAAAATGCGACGTCTCTTAGGATGCATCTGTTGAATATACCCAAAGTGGTGAAGGGTATCGTATACTCGGCCCCGTCCGACTTCACTACTTTCCTTACTGGTTTTAAATAGGGGCTATTTTCAATTATCTAACGAGGCTTGATTTTTTACAAGTAGTCAATATTGTGTGATTTGTTTAACAAGGACAAACACAGGACATTGATTTTTATACCCTACACAACTATGTTGTCAGGGTATTATAGCTTTGTGCAGCCCCAAATGTTTGTAACGCTGCGAAATATTGGTCCTAGACCCACCATTAAGTATACCGATCGTCATATCTCGACTAGCTGAGTCGATCTAGACATGTGTGTCCGCCCGTCCGTCCGTCTGTCCATTATAATTTGTAAACACGATACAGGCCACAGTTATGGACCAATCTTCACGAAATTTTGCATGTAGGATGGGTTCTGGCCAATGAAGACCCCTATTGTTTTTGGAAAAGATAGGTTAATATTTAGGGGATGAAATGGACCAAAAACATTATTTTTGTCGGTTTTTCTGGTCAATGAAGACCCCTATTGTTTTTGGAAAAGATAGGTTAATAATTAGGGGATGAAATGGACCAAAAACATTATTTTTGTCGGTTTTTCTGGTCGCTCCAGGGGCCGCAATTATGGCCCAAACACCGCGAATTTTTGCATGGAGAAGGGGATCGGCCCAGAGAATAAGCATGCATGTTTTGATAAAGATCGGTCAATATTTAGCGGGTCAAATGGACCCTGACTTTTGTGTGAAAAATGACAAAATTTGTATTCTATGGCATATATATTTACTCCTGGAGGATGTAGACCCGAGGAGTTGATAGCATATCCAAGAGGAGTGGTTGGCCTTTAAATTGATACAAAATGTAGTGATGTATCTACTCAGATGTGGAAGTTACAGTCAAATATTTACAGGTATATATTTACAGGTATTCAGATATTATTTAGTAACCCATTACCACATTAGAGATGGAAATATCGCGCTGATGGCTTTGAAATTTTCATGAAGTTCCAGTTATGGTCAAGAACAACGCCTACAATTTTCGGTGATGATCAGATTAAAATTTTGGGACCGAAAACTTAATTTTTTGTGTGTTTTCGAGTCCAGTATAATCCGAAAATCACAACACAACCCACCGTGATGGTAATCTGGACAAGTAATTAGAAGGACTGTACTGAATATTCGAAAAAATAAGGAAGAGGTGTTGTTGACCTCTAATCGGACAAGAGCGGGCAGATATCACGAAATATTACTCAGACTGGGAATAAACATCCTCAGAAAGTTAGAGTTCGTGGTAGTTGTGTAGGGTATCGTATGGTCGGCCGCGTCCGACTATACTGCTCCGCTCACTGGTTTAAAAATATTTTTGAAGCCCGATTGGATTTAAAAAATATATATTTTTTGGTCGACCAATAAGGAATGAATTTTTTCCTATGTCCCTTCTTCCGATGCCTACCATTTTCATTTTTTTATTTGATAAACGCCATTTTTATATTGAGGGCCTACCCCTTTCTCTTGTTTTTTTTCTATGTAAATGGATTCAGCCAATCGACATGATTTAAATATTCAAATTTCTCAAATTATTCATATTACCCTTTGATTTAAATATCCATCAGTTATATTTACCCCTTTCCATTTTTTATTTTTTAATTCACCCCTATATTCAAATCACTGCTTTTTTTATAATGCCTCAAATCCGCCGTTAAAAAACCAGAACCAACCCCTAAATCACTTATCACAGCATCAACCCCTAAATCTGAAGCTGCAGAAAAAAAAACGATTTAAAAAAACGCGCAATATAGACATTTAAATGCGATTTGAAGTTGGTGTAATGCCTGTACAGGGATTTAAAAAAACAACATACAAGCACACAAGGATATACATAAATCGTGATTTGCCTTTAATACGCCATCTCTTTCGCTCTTGCTGAAGAGATATGGTTTTTTTTTATTAAGAAATAAAATATATTTCACTCTAAAGCCTTGTTTTATTGGATTTATTTAAACATACTTTTATATGCCATAAAACAATTGTGTTAATACACCCACAATACATTTTTCAGTTTTTTCTTTGGTTGGCATTTGACACGGGAGAGTCCTTTCAGAACGAAGAAGAAGAACAAATGCGATTCCTTTGTTCTTTTTTGCAAATCCTATAAAAATTGTTGTGTTTTAATGCACAGCCGGTGATGATGACACCATTCATCCTCCGGTTGGGGGGTTAATTTTTAACTTTTATTGAAATATTTCACAGTTCTGTGCAAAACACCAACAACAACAGCAGCAGCAGCAAAAAAACATAATTTGCTTTCAAAAATGGTTTTGAGATGAGGGTGTATTTTGGCATAGCTGTATGTTAAGCGCTGTTATTATGTTGCTGGTCAAAGGTTAAGGTTTCTTTGTTAGCTTTTTTCTTCTCGCCTGCCGCTCTACTTGTCAGCCACTGGCTTTTCAGAATTGTTTTGTGGCCTACCCCCCGTTAAGGTGTTCCATTTTCTTCCTTCGGATTATTATTATGGCAAGTGTATGTGGCTCATATGGCTTTTCCATTTGCTCAGGGGACTAAAAACATTTTTTCCACTTTTTGCCTGTGGGTGTTTGTTTGAAAGTGCTTTGCGAAAAAATTCTTTTAAAATTGGATTGGCATATTTTCATATTTCCATGGACCCTTCGTTCATATTTTGTTCTCACTTTTGTAAAATTAATATTTGAACATTTATTATGCGTAACCCCAACCTCATCATTCAGGTAATGGCTTTGTGGGTGAGGGGAGCGGGGAAAGAAACAAATTTGATTGGGAATATGATTTTAGGTTGGGGAAGGGATGTGGGTGTAAAATTTAAAATTGAATGGAGGAATGAAGGATGTGTATGGAGGTTTTCAAATGTCCTTGTGTATTGAGTGGGAGGCAAAATGGTGTGGCTAATTTGTAATGGAGTTTTATTAGATTTTATGGTTGTTTTTTTAAATTGTTTGGGACATCATGAAATTTTTATAAAAAAATGTGTATCCGTCCTAGGTTCATTTGAGAGTACAACACCAACAAAAATAGGTACGGGGAAGACCTTTATGACTCCTTTAGTATTATAAAGATGTTAAATTATTATTTAAATGGGGGATATGTAAAATTTTATATAATAGCATGGTAAATAACGGGCCAGGAGAAAACAAAATACCAAA